GATTCAGTTGGAAACTTTGATCCAAGGGAGTTCTGTAAATGGGGGAAGCATAGGAGAGCTCTGGAGAAGTTGATTAACAAATTCTAGGGCAGGGGACAGCAACTATTTTTATCTAAAGAGTCTTTTTATTAAAAAAAAACAAAACCTATTAGGAGCCAGAAGTAGAAATTATGACATTTCCAAATTTAATGCACAGCAAATTTGTGGTGTTTAGGTCTAATGCATAATTTGTACATATAATAAATAAAATACTGAATTGCATTTATGCATCAATTGAAAGAGCTGAAAAATTTAATTAGAATTGAAATCACTGTCTGAGTTTTTACTTTTATTTACATTCTTTGCATTTTTTGTTTTTCTTTGAATTTGTAGAATATTCATTATTCAAGTTTTGTGTCAATTCGCCTGAATTATGTATAAGCATGTACATGTAATCATATTAATTTAATGGAAAACAACACATTTACATTTTGAATAAATGCATACACATATATAACTGAAATAATTAATTTTGTCTTCGTGTTTTTGTAATATAGTTTGTAATATGTGGAATTTTATTTTGATAATTTTTGTCCAGTCATCTTTAAAATAAATTAACTTAAAATGCATAGAGTTAAAGAATTTTCACTTTAGTAATAAAAGGCTTCACTAGCGCATTCAGAATAATTAATTTATCTTCGGATTTATTATAAATCATAATTGTCATAACTTTAAACCCTGTTCCTCAAACCAAAGATGTTATCTATAACTATAGCGTTGCCGTGCCACCCAAATAGGTTTATTTACAGCATAATCATGTTTTTCACTAAAATAATTATTTGAAAACATAAAGTGCAGCAGAATGATTGGCCTTTTGTCCACAGTAAAAGCAGGGTTCTTATTAGGTTTGATTTAATTTTTTTAGGCTTCTCATAATAATGCAATCTAACTGAAAAAGGTTGAGAACTGCAAATCGAGATGATAGGATCTGCATGCACCTCTGGAGCAACACATTCCAGACCTGGGCTCTGCAAGTTAGGGTTCTTGCAGGTCTGCTGGCATGCACACCCAGGATCTGTAGACTTGCCATGCAATCAAACCGCACGCGTAAACAGACCACACTAAGCCTTTCTGTTTAGGCTCAAAGACGGAGGAATTGAAGTAAGAATCGCACGTAAGTCAAAAAAATACAAACACATTGAATAAAAGAAATCTTTACCTTTTTGACAATATGTTTCTCCCCTACAATAAAACAACTTGATCAGAAAGCAAATTCTTTTCACTATAGAACACAGTTAAGTATTTTATTCTGGCAAAGACTTGTGCACTTTTACGTATGCAATTCAGTGAGGTGGAGTTTATCAACAACAACATAAGTTTCGCTTTTCTTATGTCATTTCCAAGAAATCACGTGACTGTAGACTCATGCTTATTTCACTTTTCTGACTCTCTCCTAAGCAATCCTAAAAGCTTAACACCACCATTGCATACCTCAATAAAATTGGGAATGACCCCTAGTATAATCATTCATTTGCCTTTTAACACTCTGCCCAATTTTACTTTACTTTGATTTCAATATGTGAAACATGGATTGGTTTAAAATTTCCCTGAATATCACATCTGTGTTGATCTATGTTCTCTGTAGCCCTTTGGCCTCAGATTGCCTTCAGTAACTGCTGAGGTTGCAGAAGAGATTACCACTGATGTAGGCATCTCCTGTGTCTGGTGGAAGGGAAAATATTTTAATGTTTTGTGTAGTAGGAGGAAATGAAATCTTTCAAACACATTGCTGGCAGGATTGGGAAGAACTGCAGACTCACTGTTGACTTCCTTGCTGAAATTGTGGACACATTGGTTCATCCTGTTTGTATTTGCAGTGTGTAATCAAAACAACTAAAACTTAGGGAACAAAAGGACAAGAGCTCATTTTTGCCAGTTTTCTGGCGCAAAATCAGAGCCTCTGAATTTTGGTTGCACTTATTTCTCCTTCTTAGAATTGACAACTGGGAGCTGAATGAACTTATTTACATATATCAAAATGAGGCCCTCCCTAGGGCATTGTGGGACAACTTACAGCACATGGACTGCAGCAATTCAAGCAGGCAGCTCAATTCTCAAGGGCAATTAGGGACGGGTAATGAATGCTGGCTGGCCAGGTGTGCCCACATCCCATGAATGAATAAGAGTAGGTAAGACTCAAAGGACTTAATGACTTTTCATCTTCCTATGTTCCAAAGAATTGTGACTGAGACAACACAGATTCTAATTTAAGAAGCATATAAGGCAAGTGGTATAAACTAACTTTACATCAGATAAAGAAGTGAAACAAAGTAAGATGGCATCCATTCAGAGAGCAAGATAAGAGACAGGCAGAAAAAGTAAAACAAAAATTTTGATAGTTATTTACTTTTAAGTGTTCAACACAAATTAAATCCTGAACCAAAGGAACTCCACATTTATAAAATTAAATTGTTGAGGCCAGAGAGTTTGTTTGGCAAGAGTTATCAGTTAGCTTACTATTAACATTTTATTTACTCCCAAATTGGTTAGTCATTGATATATAGTGTGCTATTGCACCATTAGTTAAGTGTCACAGCATAGCCCATGAGGATGTAGAATTAACACCCTCTGAATTCCCATACTTAAATTATATTTTCCCAATCAACCTGTTCAGAAATGTTATTACAAACGTCTGGAATAGGTGAGACTTGAACTCAGGCCTCCTAGTTTCGTAGAATCACGAGTGGTAGTGTCTTTACCTCTGCATTACAAGAACATTTATGCTTAAATATGCATGTGTGAACATTAGAAGTTGCTGTCTGACTTACTGTCTAATAGCAAGCCAATTAATGGAGGCAATTTTAAAATGGACTTAGACTTTGGTCATTGCCTTAGCTAAATCTCAGCTCCTGCCTGAGTCTACTGAATCACTACAGTGTGGAACTGGAGGAACACAGCAGGTCAGGCGGCATCAGAGGAGCAGGAAAGACAACATTTCGCCATCAGGATTTCTGAAATGTCGACTCTTAAATACTTACAAAACGCTGAAACACAAATTAGACTGTAATCTAAAAAATTGTCTTCTCTTATGACAAAGCTTTATTTTTAACAATGATGTAGTTGATAGTGGTATTACTAATGATAACTGCTGTCTAACTAATTTCCTAATGATAGAGAAAATCTTGGTAAGCGTGTTATGCAAATATTACTCACTTTATAAATTCTTCATTTAGTTCAGTCCAATTACAAAATATTTACAGACTATTACCAACGACATTACAATAGATCCTCAGATCTTTTGATCAGTGTTTCTGCCCCTCTCTGTAATGTAAACGTTTAATGCTTAATTTGTATATAGTTGATTCATATCATTAGTAATACAAGAGATCACATTACAATCAATATTACAGAGATGATTCTATGTTCATGTCATTTCAAGCCTTACCGTATTAATATTTATGAACATTTAATGAAAGGTAAAATAACCAACAGCCTAGCTTTTAACTGTCTGTATTGATTCTGACCAAGGACTCTTCTGAAACTCACTATCATGATTACAGACTGTCAGTCATAAGATCTTCTTGTTTTCTAACAGCTGTCACATTTAAATATGGCAAAGACGATTAAATACTCATTTCATTGCCTGTTTCACATTTACATGAAGATGATCTTAAGGCCTGGATCTGTCAAGTTTGTCATTTGTTTCTGTTATGGGCCCACCATCCTGATCACCCAGAATACCACCTTCTTTGGGTTTTATTGTTGACCCTTTAGAAGAAGGTGAGGTAACAGTTGCCTTTATCTCTTGTTGCTGAACAAAGGTCTCTGACACCTCACCACCCTCCCCTCTATATATTTAGCAAAGCTCTGTTCCTCTGCCTGTTACCCTGTGCTTGCTGGATGATCTTTTACTTCTGTTTACCTGAGTCTGAGTTACAACAGCAGCTTGTGAAAATGTTATTCAATTTCACTTTCTGCTTCCTCATCTATTAGTGCGCAAGCCTGTGAGAACAAAGTTGGGATATTGATAGAGATAGTAGGATTTTCTCTGAAGAAGGGTCTCGACCCGAAACATCAGCTTTCCTGCTCCTCTGATGCTGCTTGGCCTGCTGTGTTCATCCAACTCTACACCTTGTTATCTGGGATATTAATAGGCTGTGTTAAAGGGACAATGTTATACAACAAAATAAAATGTTACAGGAAAAGGAGAGGACCGTTTGCATAAGCCATTCAATAATACTTTAAAAATAGATTTGTTTTTTGCACATATTTCTGAAATATTTTACATTCCAGAAATGTATCTGGTATCCCAAACACATGGGAATATCATTTTATGGGGAGGTGACCCTGTTTGCACCAGGGCACTCCCCAAATAATGTGGTCCACTTTCTTGCTGGCTTTTCAATGAAGTAGTTTATAAAACAGCCTTCTGACTCATGCCCATGTGTCCATGCCAATATATTATGGAGTGAGCAGCATATTTCAATCAATTTGTACATTTTCAAACTCAACTGTTTGGTAATTACTTTTTGAAAATGGTGCTGAGCTGATTATTTTGGCGTCTGTTGGCTATGCACTGGGAATGGGTAGTGGTCAGAAAATGGTGGGCTAGCCACACAACATATTTTTAGTTTGTCTGCACCAAAAATACTTGCATCACAAAGAGTGACAAAATATATATGATTAGAATGTTTAAACTCTGCCGTGAAAATATTGTATATGCAATTACAAGAACTACAAAAGTGATGCAGATCAGTATCAGAATTTGCTGGCCTTTCCTGTCATATGCATTTTCTAATACTGAAACTGATATTACTTTTGTTTCCTTTTCACATGTATAGCTAACACATGAAACTTTACTTGTTTATCCATACCCACTGCCTGAGGGCGTGATTAGTTTTGATGATTTCACATTTTTTAAAATCCCTAAATTTCCCGTTTGGTTCAGTCTGTTATAATTAAGATGTACCACTGAAGAAGAGTCCCGAACCGAAACATCAGCTTTCCGCTCTTCTGATGCTGCCTGGCCTGCTGTATTCCTCCAGCTCCACACTGTGTTATCTCTGACTCCAGCAACGGCAGTCCTTACTATCTCTGGTTCAGTCTGTTGTTGTTATTCAACAGTATCAGACCAAGTTGAGGAAACGTGAGCAGGAGATCCTATTTATTACTGTGTTTCTTAATGCAAAGGCATATTTACTGTGATGGTAAGGAAGGAGATGGAAGCTAACAGGGGAGACTGAAAATTGAACGAGAATTGGAGACAGCTTCATAGAGATTTTGTTTTGATAGTGTCAGTGAGATTTTAGCCAAAAGAAAATGGACGCCAACTGGGTTCGATTGTTTAATAATAAAGTATTGGATCTGGAACATACCAATGACTGGAATATCACAAAAGATGACAACTTAGTACCATAGAGAGCACCCACAGGATGGAATTTATATAAGGCATCTTCATTTGCAAGGTATGAAGTATGTGTAACAGAAAACAAGATCAGAATCTGCATATCTGGCCCGAGTGTTATTGTGGTATGGAAACAGAAATTAATATTCTCTAAGGAAAAGAGTAGTGTTAATGAAATGAATTCCCTTTTGTGAACTTCTTTGATATTTTTTGCCAAGTGATTTTGTTATCTGTAACTCCACTATCCCAACTTACCAGCAATTTGTAAGTGACTCAATATATTTTCTTTGATTCTGACAAGAATTAACATTGCCTTTGATTTTGACAAGAATTAACCAATTAACCAAAAAGCAGGGTCGATACAGTGTGGAGCGGAGGAACACAGCAGGTCAGGCAGCATCAGAGGAGCAGGAAAGTCAATGTTTCAGGTCGGGACCCTTCTTCAGGACTGAAAATTGAATGAGAATTGGAGACAGCTTCTTAGAGATTTTGTTTTGATAATGTCAGTGAGTTATTAGCCAAAAGAAAATGAACACCAACTGGGTTCGATTGTTTAATAATTAAGTATTGGATCAGGAATATCCCGATTACTGGAATATTACAGTAGTCGGGATATTCCTGATCCAATACTTAGATAATTCATATTACATATTCCAGTCCTGATGAAGGGTCCTGACCCAAAACGTCAGCTTTCCTGCTACTCTGATGCTGCTTGACTTGCAGTGTTCCTCCAGCTCCACACTGTATCGACTCTGACTCCAGCATCTGCAGTTCTTTCTTTCCCTTAACCAAAAGCAGGACTCTGAATAGAATACTACAGAAATTACTTACAGGAAAATGTATACTTAACAACTTAGGACAACTTAGGACAACAACTTTTACTAAATTTAGGTGTTCCATTTTTGAAGTGTGCCCTTTCAAAAGTCCAGCTATGAAAAGGTTTCATTGGATATGAGTCTTCACTACTTGGCTAGAATCCCTTGTAATTTCAGCTTTTGAATGTCCACCACGCCACATAGAGTCAGACTTTTTCCAAATTAATAATTAAATCATTTATTGTCATGTGTATTTCATACAAAATACAGTGAAAAGTTTAAACCGTCCCCATGCATCATTGCCATTTTGAGGAACAAAAGTAAAAAAAATCAAAAAAAGCTTAGTCCAATATTCCACCGCCATTGATAGCCACCTCCTCAATGCTGCCACCAGAGTCCCGCTCCAGGCTCCACCAGCTACTGCCACCCCATCATCAGAGTCCCACTCCAGGCTCCACCAGCTACTGCCACCCCATCATCAGAGTCCCGCTCCGGGCTCCACCAGCTACTGCCACCCCATCACCAGAGTCCCACTCTGGGCTCCACCAGCTACTGCCACCCCATCACCAGAGTCTCGCTCTGGGCTCCACCAGCTACTGCCACCCCATCACCAGAGTCCCGCTCTGGGCTCCACCAGCTACTGCCACCCCATCACCAGAGTCTCGCTCTGGGCTCCACCAGCTACTGCCACCCCGTCACCAGAGTCCCGCTCTGGGCTCCACCAGCTACTGCCACCCCATCACACTGGACCCAACCAACTACAGCATTGCATCTCTTGCCACTGAGCTCATCTCATTGATGTTGCTGTGATGCCCTTCACCAGCATTTCGCTGCTGCCAGAGATGGATCCACCAATGATGAACTTGCCAATCCTCAGGCTCCATCATTTGCCGCTGGACCTATCTCGCCAATGTCACCTCTGCTGATGTGGCAGCCACTGGTACCGATGCCAAGTCCTGTGCTCTTCCTGGAAAAGTAAGTAGGGGTTCACTTACTGCCACCACGGGGGTCTGTGCTGGGCCCACTCGAATCCGCACTGGGCTCCCTCTCCACTACCATAAGGTCTGTATTGGGATCACCCAAGTCCATGCTGGGCCCACTCGTGTCCATGCTGGGTTTCCTCACTGCTGCCAATGCCGTCCAAGCTCAGAACAAGAGGTAAGTAAAAAGAAAAAAAGAACAGAAAAGCGGTTGAAACGGACGAACTCCAGCTTAGGAGTCCTATTCTGCCGCCATCTTGATGATGTGATATCTGGGGCAAGGATATGATCAGCAAACAGGGGCCAATGCATTAGGATGGCTGGGGGTGAGGGAACCCACAGTTCTCCGTCCTTTATGGTGCATAGATCTGTGTGTAGTTTTGTCTCCCTCAAAAGGGTTTCGCAAGATGTGTCATGCAGTCGTCTCCCTCACAGGATGAGTCACCTAGCCCATCTATTGCTTCAACTTGTGTTGAATTTGTAAATCCAAATGAATTGAGCTGATGCTGTGGCACTAATGGGGAGATGATGGCCTAGTGGTATTATCACTGGACTGTTAAACCAGAGACCCAGATAATGTTCCAGGGACCCAGGTTCAAATCTTGCCACAGCGGATGGCGGAATTTAAATTCAATAAAATATCTGGAATTAAGAATCTAATGATGGCCATGAATCCACTGTTGATTGTCAGAAAAACCCATCTGGTTCACTAATGTCCTTTAGGGGAGGAAACTGCCATCCTTAACTGGTTTGGTCTAAATGTGACTCCAGATCCACAGCAATGTGGTTGATTCTGAGCAATTAGGGATGAGCAATAACTGCTGCGCAGCCAGCGACGCCCCCATCCCGTTAATGCATTAAAAAAACCTCAGGGAAATACAAAATTATTTGGACAAAGGATCTACTTGGTGTAAAACAAAGCCACATTAAGTTTAAAGTAGACATTCTCAAAATGCTGCTTATAGGAATAAAAATATGCAATGCACAAATTCTATGAATGCGATTCAAGTGGTTTGGACAAAATTGAAAGAAATCCATTATATTTGATGAGCAACATTTACAACAACAGTGGAGAATTAATTAACAAAACAAATAGAATGCAAACGCGTAAAACCAAAATAGACAGAGGAAGTTATCACAACATCAGCAACAAAAGGAAAGTAAGTGAAATTATGATAAAATCATGTTTGATCACATTATTGCCTTAAGTATTACGTTCAATCAAGTTATCAATGTACAAAGGATACACTCAAAACTGGAGACCATTCAGAGAAGAACGATAGGATATTTTAGAATGGGTCTGAAAAATGAGAAAAGATGGAGCATTAGAAATTCATTTGTCAACAAACTTTTGAACAGAAAATTGCTATTCCAATTGCCAAGTTTGTAGTGGAAGATACCTTGTCAGAAGTTTGCAGAAGAAATAACTGCTGCCATTTGGTTTAAAGGCAGGGCTTAGACACTGCGATAGCTGGCCAAAATTATTGCTGACCTCATTAAACTGTGCAAATGAGAACTAGGAGAATGCCAAATTTGTTACATTGAAGAATTAACTAGACGGTATTTTGTTAGACTTAAACAATCTTTACGTAATTTTGTGGTCTACTGACTGTGCGTTACAGGAATATTGTGTGAACACGCAGTAATAGAAATAGATGAGAGACATATAACAAATATCAAATGCTGAATCAGGAGCAAACTTTGGCCATTTAAAACCTGAAATTCTTTGTTTGCTCAAATAGAATGGGTGGACATGGGTGTCACTGACTCGTCAGCAATTATTGCCTGTTCCTAGTTGCCCTTGATGAGACTTTGTAGCGATTGATATAACTGAATGGCTTGCTGGGCCATTTCAGGGAACAGTTGAGTGTCAACCACATTGCTGTGGGTCTGGATTCACATGTAGATCAGACCAGGTGAGGATGGAAGATTTCCTTCTCTGAAGGACATTAGTTAAATGTGGTTTTTCTGACAATTGGCAGTGGTTTCATGATCATCGTTCAAATTCCAGCATCTGCCATGGCAGGATTCAAACCTGGGTCCCCAGAACATTTGCTGAGTTTCTGGATCAGTAGTCTAGCAATAATACCATGGCATGAACAGTTGCAAAAACCTCTGCAAAGAAATACAGAGCCACTGCCATCCGGCGAATCTTGAGAATGAGCAACCACCCACCTTATTTGTTTCTCTCACTGGATTTGAAAAGAGTACTGTATTAAGTAACATTTGTCAGGAACGATACACAGTCATAAAGAGGATGGTTCTGGATGGAATAAATGTAGAATATCACCAACTTTGGTATCTGAAGTCCATTTGCATGTTTTACATACTTCATATATGATGTAGGAAGAAACTCATACTTACAAAGCACATTATCATGGACTTAGGATGTATCACAGCACTTAACAGCAAATGGAGGATGCACAGTAGCTGAGACCAGAACATTGAACTGTTAAGCAGCTAAAAATGGAGTCAGTGAGAGTCATATTCCAAAATGATAGAATCAGATGGGTTTGTGATTTTTGTAATCTAAATCTGCCATATCATTTTACTGGGAAAAAATGCAGGAAGGGATGGAATAATCCATTGGCAGCCATTCTTCAGAGCACGGCTACTTGGATGAAACATCTGACTGACATACAGTGAAACTAAATCTGAGCATAATTAAGCACCTGCTAAAGGTTTCTCAGTCATGTCAATGTTTAGTTTTGCTCATATACAGTGAACAGAGGAATATATATTGTATAGTATCACATCAGGTCTATTACTATTGTTACATTTCTCTGCTACATCCTTGGTTGAGAGCTATGCACATTCTGATTTTATAAAAGAGTGAGAGCCTTGTGTAAATTGCTTTATTTTTGTAGCAGATAACTAATATTTTATTTCTTAAATTTTCAGATTTCACTGTTCAACTTGTCACAATAGCTGGGCTTCTGCAAAGGCACTAATTATTTTCAATATGAAACTGCAGAATGGTGTAGGAGAGGTGAAGGTGCGATTCTTCAAACAGCAGTGCCGACGAAGCCATTTGGCAGAAGCCAACTTTGTAGAACCTGTGTTTGATGAAGAAAATATCAAACAAGTTCTGAATCACTTAATGGCAAAGATCAGCAACACTGTTATCGTGAAAGTGTTGGAAATCGCACAACCTGGCATGAAAGTAATGTCAAAGTGCAGGGACCACATGAGAAAAAGCATTGCGAAGCTTGCAAGTTAGGAATCTGCACAGAATATTACTGACCAGAGGCCTGACCTTTTCATTTAGCTCAAAGTTTGGAATCCTGATAAATTCTGTGATGCAAACTATAGTTAGAATCATAATCATAATCATGTTTTAAATAATACAATAATGCTTAAAATTTTTGACCATTATTTCTATACTTGTGCCTTCAAATATCCATTGTGATCACGTTTTATTTCAATTTATGTTGATCTGTATGTATTGTCATAATCTGGAAGACAATGTTTAAAATATGGTGGAAGCAACTCAATACTTTAAAAAGGAAATTAGCTAAGTACCTGAATGGGAAAAAAAAAAGAACTGTAGAAGCTTTGGACAAAGAATAGGGTAGTGTGATTTAATGGATGGCTTTTTCAAAAAACTGTCACTTTTTGGTCTGTGCGACTTCCTGTATGGCCTGATTTTTTATACAATTAAAATGATGAATTCAGTGCAATATCAGCAGTGAATGCAATTGAATGTCTTAGGATGATTCAAAAAGAAACTTGAAATTTGTAATGTTTTCTTTCTGGAACCCTATTAAAATTAAAATAAAAATATATGAGTGACAATTTCCTGATATCCTGATTGCTTCTACTGGCTAGGAAGTAATAATCTTGAGAGTTTAATTACTGTTTGTTTCTGTGCCTGATGTGAGCTGTGGGAATATTTTGTGCCAGTATAGACAAACCATTCCTGTTTTCTATCTCAGGCTCCCTGGAAATTTTCATTCTTTATATCAGAGGTAAGTTAAAGCTTAGAACCCCGAGGTGAAGGCTGGTCTCTAGTCAACAGCACCAACTCTTCTGAGTAATAAAAACAGAAGTTGCTGGAAAAGCTCAGCAGGTCTGGCAGCATCTGTGAAGAAAAAAATCAGAGTTAACGTTTCAGGTCCAGTGACCCCTCCTCAGAACTGGACCTGAAACGTTAACTCTGATTTTTTTCTTCACAGATGCTGCCAGACCTGCTGAGCTTTTCCAGCAACTTCTGTTTTTGTTCCAGATTTAAAGCATCCTCAGTTCTTTTAGTTTTCTTCTGAGTAATGCTCTGTTCCGCAAGAAAGTGCTATGTCACGGGTGTGGTAATAAGTATCTGTAGACTGGGTGCTATAGTGGGTTATTAAAATGCTGTCCTCTTTTGGATCTGAATTCAGTTCAGCCCAGGTGGATGGATAGATGTTTCTTTTCTCCTCAGTAGTATTATCATGAGCTTTACCACTTTAATTTCAGTCACTGCTGGGCGAAAATGCATAACCTGAAATAGTCTGTAACTTGGAATTAGTTGGATAAACCCAAACTATAAACATTGAGAGCTTATAAAATAGAAATGCAGCAGTCCATAACAATATTGTTCAGAGTTAGCCCCACACAGCCCTAGTGAAAATTAAGACCTAGCTTTGCACTGAGAACACCCTCCATTTGTGCTGTGTGGGATACATACAGAGCAGATTTAGAACATCAGAGTTGGCAAACATGTGGCATGGCAGGTCCTCAGCATTTACAAATTCTCCTCCAAGCTATACACTAACTGACATGGATAGTATCACTTTTCTTCAGGTGTTGCCAGGTTAAAATCCTGGAACACCCTACCCAAGAACTGTGGAAATACCTTGACAATTCAGACTGCGGTAGTTCAATAAGATGGTTCACCACAACCTTCTCAAGACCAGGTAGGACTGAGCAATACACGATGTTACCAGCAATGCACATAATTCATGAACAAATAACTGTTTAAAATTGGGCATGGGACTTTATGTTGTGTGATTACTCTATAGCCAATCATAGCCCTCCAGAATAGCGTTGCCCAAGTTTTTAAGATGCTGGAGCCACTTTATAATTTCTCTCCAACTTGGTGGGGTGGGGGGCATGAGCAAATTTCAGAAAGTTAAGGTTTACAAAAATGACCATTAAAAGTACAAAGTGCAGGATTAACTAATAATACATCTTATTTACCTAATCAGTTAAGAAGCTGAGCCAGACTGAGAAACGAGGTCAAAAATCCTTAACAGGAATGTGGGTGGAACAGAGATCAAACTCAAGAGTTAGGTTTAATAGCATCGACCTTTGTTCATTTCTGGTGGGGCACACTCCAAACTGGCCTTGGCAGAATTCACCTTAAAGTGGGGGTTTGAAGTGGGCAACCTTTCAATCTGGGCGTTCCTCCTCTCTCATCCTGACTTTCATGATAGGGTTTTGTGCAGGGAGGAGGAGGGGGGGAAGGGTGGGTGTGTGAACAAGAAGGAGCCGCCACTATTTTCTCAAGGGCATTTGCAAATGGACAATAGATATTGCTCCAACCACCATCATTCACATCCCATGAAAGAATAACAAAAGAAACTACCTCTCTGCCAGTCTCAATACCGTTTCCTGCCAGTCAGCTAATACAGAATGCTACCACAAGCTTTGAATGCAGTCCAAAATCAAGCATTATAGGCCAAGAGCTGCTTGAGGTTAGATTGTAAGACAGTGTGTACTCCCCTCCAATGAAAATCAGCAGACTGCTGTGTATGCACAAGAATGATTAGTTAAAATTTGTATTTTCCTTGCTCACTCATGGCATGTGGGTGCCCATGGCTGGGCCAGCATTTACTGCAACTTCCAATTCCCCTTGAGAAGGTGCTGGTGAGCTGCCTTCTTGAATGGCTACATTCATTTGGTATAGGTAGACCAGCAATGCTATTAGGGAGGGAGTTCCAGGATATTGACGCACTGGTTCTGAAAGAATGGCGATCTATTTCCAAGTCAGGATGTTGAAGTGGGTTGGAGGGGAACTGACAGATGGTAGTGTTCCAATGTATCTGTATAATAATGGATGGTTACTGAATAGAATTAGTAGGAAATGGTTGTTTTGTAGTATTTTCAATTTCAGGAATGTGGTGAGGACATTGTGACGGTATATAACTCAAGAATGAAGTGTGGGATCATTGGATATTGTGAACTTGAGTTTGAATTCACCGGGAATGGAGTTGAATTAGACACTTGCAGACAACTCATCCAGAACATGAATATACTGGCTACTTCTCCTCTCCCTCTTCATCCTGCTGCTCTTTTGCCTCTTCCTCCCTGTCTTTCTCCCTATCCTCCTGAGGTGGTCACCAAATGTGACATGATTGCCAGGTTATGGAGAATGCAGAATGTTGTAACAATGCTTTATTGTAAGCAGGGCTGTTCTCACATTAGCATATCACTGAATATGTATGAATTTAAAAATATCAACATCACAGGAAGTGATACAGGACCGCAGTTGGAGCAGTGTTTATTCTGTAATAGCATGTGTATATAATGTGTAATGCTTCCCCAAAACCCTGTACATAATCTGTTGTCCATCAATAAAGAACCCAAGAGCTTGTTGTCACTCATCAGTGTGTGATTGGTAAGTTGGTGCTCCAGTCCAATAACATTACACAGTATACCAACACAAATTGGACCATGTCTTCTGCTGAGTACTGGACAGTTCTCCTGAGCTATGGGGACATCAGAACTGTTGCTGCAGCAACCAATCATCTGCCCAATAATGTTTCTCATGGCAGTATAGCCCACTTTGTATGCATGTAGTTCAGTTATGGACAAGAGTTACCAGTCAGCTATCGAACAGGTAGCCCTCATTACCAAGCAGCCGGTTAGACATGATGGCTGAAAGAATAGCGGTACAATGGACTGATGCAGAATGAGTGCATCAGGGCTGCTGGCAGAATAATGAACACTCGCCAGCAGGATGTGATGAGTATGGTAACACAGGAGCCGTATGTTGAGTGACTGGTCACCTTTGCAGTTCCAGCTGAGATGCAGATCCATTTGGCAGAGTTGGTGGCACTCTGCACCATGGGAAACTGGCTTTCATGGCAAAGCCATGTACATCCTCCTCCGCTTTCTTCAGAGAAGTCAATAAACTGCTTTTTTCCTGTTATACAGAGCCAATGCAACCTCCCTGATGCAGTGTTAGATGCTGAACTGGAAGATGTTACATATTTGCCTCTTCCTGCCTGGAAGAATCCAGAAGTGAAGAAATTCAGAGTCTTTGTAGCAACTGCTTGTGGCAGCATCTCATAGCTCTGAGGATGTAGGTCTGATTCCAAGGACAACAAATAAGCACCTTATTTGTGAGTCCCAGACAATGCACCAATTCTCTTACTTTAACTAATGGTAAGAAAATCGCCTTCAGAAAATCTTAGGTGGGTATGTCCCACAGCCGAAAACATTTCTCCGCCACTGTGAGCACTTGTCTTCCTATTTTCTGCCTCTGCATCATTTGCTTCCCATGCTGCAATGGAAGGGAAAAATTACTGTCGTATCAGAGCAAGTGACGTATACAAACTCTTCACACTCACAACTATCACCTTTTAGACTTGTAGCAGCAGAGTATTCATCAATTGGAAAATTTCTCAAAACACTCAGCATTTTCACAAACACAAACAGAACCAGTAGAAAACTGAGAAGCAAACAGCCTACAATTTGAAGCAAATCCCTTTAAATGGCACCGCTGGGAGTTTCCTTCATGTTGCTGGAATCTTGCACAGCTGTGCAGGTTTAAGAGAGGGTATTAACTGACAATGACATCTTTGGTATCAAACCAATGTTACATACTGACCAATATCTCAGTACGCTAGCTCTGCATACTTCCAGTGCAAACTTGGAATGGCCATGCTCGCCACCCTTGCCAGAATGGCATTTGGCATACACCATACCAGAAGTGAGCAGATGGATGCCAATTTGAGATAGAACAGCAATCAGAGAAGTAAAACTATAAAACTGAATTTTTCAGTTGCAGATACAAAGTAGCAAGTAAAAAGTAAAATTTAAAATATTTGATTTGTTGTAAAATTAGCAGGATATTCCTGGGAATACGTCCAGGGAAGTTATCTGCATGGAATTGAGAATAAGAAAGGGATGATCACCTTACTGGGATTGTACGAAAGATCCCCAAATAGTCAGTGGGAAATTGAGAAATAAAATTGTAAGGAGATCTTAGTTATCTATAAGAGTAATAGGGTGGCTTTGGTAAGGGATTTTAACTTTCCAAACATAAACTGGGACTACCATAGTGTTAAAGGCTTGGACGGAGAAGAATTTGTCAAGTGACTAAAAGAAAATTTTGTGATTCAATATGTGAATGTACCGACTACAGAAGGTGCAAAACTTGACCTACTCTTGGGAAATAAGGCAGGGCACGTGACTGAGGTGTCAGTGGGGGACCACATTGGGCCAGTGACCATAATTCTATTAGTTTTAAAATAGTGATGGAAAAGGATAGACCAGATCTAAAACTTAAAGTTCTAAATTGGAAGAAGGCCAATTTTGACGGTATTAGGCAAGAACTTTCAAAAGTTGATTGGAGGCAGATATTCGCAGGTAAAGGGACAGCTGGAAAATGGGAGCCTTCAAAAATGAGATAATGGGAGTTCAGAGACAATATGTTCCTGTTACAGTGAATGATAAGGTTGGTAGGTGTAGGGAATGCTGGATGATTAGAGAAATTGAGATTTTGGTCAAGAATAAGAAGGAAGCATATGTCAGGTATAGGCAACAGGGATTGAGTGAATCCCAAGAAGAGTATAAAGGCAGGAGGAGTATAC